AATAAATTTTTCGAGAAAAAAACACGACTTTCAAGAAGCGATTTAGTCTTGGAAAGTGAAAGTTGAAACGTGCAAGGATTTGATTTCAGATTCGGATTCTCCGACCTCGATTTACTTCCGTCAATCTTTATAAAATATCGTTATTTTTTTCTAAAATGCTGTTTTTCTTGACAATGGTTTGAATCGGTAACCGTACCTACGGTTATCGTCACCGTTGCATCCCTACTCTGCAGGATTATAATATGAAACAGAATGTAACTATTGTTGCTGATCATAGAGATATTGTTTTATTCTGTCTATCTTGGGACTCATTTCTTCACCCTGATTTTACTTAATCTTTTAGAAACAAAATAAAGAAATAGACGCTTGTCATGATCTGTAGGCATATGTTCAAATTTCTATTCTATATATTTCAACACGGGTTCTAGATCGTGTTGTCGTAAAAAATGTAAATGTTTGCTAAAATTATTGAAAATTTAATTTTTATTTATGTTGAAATATGTCATACCTAATTGATTATTATTTTCTAATTGTTGAATATAAATAAGAATATGTTGTGCTATTTGTTCAAGTGTAAAATTTTCATCTAATGGAATTGAATCTTTTAATTTATGACGAAATAATTCAAGTTGATTTTGATGAAATTGTTGCCAAGCACGATTTGCTTCTTCTAATTGTGAACAATGAGCTGAAGATGCAGTAAGATCTGTTCGTAATTGACGAAGTTCTTCTTCGATATTTGGAGAATATGTTGATCGAACAGGAGTTATTCTATGAATTTGAACCTTGAAAAAAAGAAATAAAATTTTGAAAATTCAATAGATATTTTTATTAACTTCTTGAATTGGTGTATGACGAATATCTTTTTGAATCATTTGTTTTGAAATATCTTGAGAATGAAAATCAGAAGATTGTCGTTCATATTCATTTAATTGATTTGTTAAATTCTGATTAGTATTAATAAGTAAATTATTCTTTTGTTGTAATTCATCATATTGTTGTTTCAATTGTTCATTTTCATTTAATGTTAATTGTAAATTAGTTTTTAATGAATCAATTGAATATTGATTTTCTATTAATTGTTGTTCAAGATTTTGACTTTCTTTTTGAAGAGTAAAAATTTGTTGATTAAGTAATTGTTCATTGTCTTGAAAATTATTTATTTGTTTTTTTAATAAATCAAGATTATCTTTCGTTGTGTCTAAAATTAAGAATAATTAAATTAATTAAAACGTAGTGGAAATATTTTGAAAAGAATTCAATAGGGTATGTTATGATTTGCAGTTACATGCCAATGAAATCGAGGGACAATTAGAACTGCTATATGTATTCTATTTTGGTAGACAGTTGTTCAAGCTTGGAATCGGACCGGCTTGATTTTTTCTATCAATTTTAAGAGAACTGAAGTGAATTGATTTAGATGGTTTTAACGATTTAGAAATACGAACTTGAAATCTAAAAATGTGATATCTAGTGTAAAACCCGAACTTTGTAGCTCATAGTGTCTTCTTATTGTCAATAGTAGTCTTATACGAATTGAGAAGCCTTTCAATTGTGTTAAATAATGATTTCAAATAAGAAAATATTGAACTTATCAATTCTTGTTTTAAAAGAAATGATATCGTGATTGCAGGAAACCAGACAAAAAGAAGTATAGGCATTGCTCAATATCATCATTTGTGCAGTTATTATATGAAAAATATCTAAAGAGCTTTTCCTTCGTTTTGAGTATTAGTGTATATGAAACCTGACAGAATACAACAATCATTATCTCAAAAGTACTAATTGTTTGATAAATATACTGAAATATATGTATGTACAGATCACAGTGGGGAGCTTTCACATGAGCAGGCGGACATGCGGCTTTTTTGCTTAGCAATGACTTTCATTTGACTAGAAATGACAGTATACCGCTCAGAGAACTGTTTTTAAGAAAAATAAAAGGTTTTTTAAGAAAAAAATTTTTTTCAAAAAAAGCTGGGGAGGGCCTCAGCCTTTTTTTCGACAAAAATGTTTTTTTTGAAAAATATGTTGCGCTACATATCATTCGGTGTAGTTTGATGCGCTGATTTCGAATATCACCTTAGTTTTTCTTCAAAATGTAATATGAATGT